CACAAAGTCTCCTGTATTTGCGTCCTTGTATTGTTGAAAGTAACTGTATTTGCCAACTGTATTTTGCTGTTTGCCTCTCCATGATTCCATATCCAATCCTTTTTCTGTCCTTCACCCCAAAAAGGGATATTACCACTGTAGACTGAACATCAATGGTGTTTGGAACTTCAAACCGCCTTTAAGCCAAACTTTTTATGTTTCACAGAAATGAACATTTGAACTTGGAGTAACGTCGTTAAGGCGAGCCTTTTTAGGTTTGACACGAAAGTGGGTATAAACGTTTGAGCCGAATTCCATTAACTTCGGCCGAATAACTGCTTAATATTCCCTGCGTACCAAGGGCAGTCAGTAGTAAATGAACCCAGAATGTTTTATGGCACATCTTATCTTGCCTGGCTTCTGAGACGCATTTCATCTGTTTTGTGCCAGTGTGACCCAACTGTGAGTATTTATAAGGGAACTCAGTCGTTTCCTGTGCGGTTTCTGGTTTTACAGATACTCCGGAAAACACACGCGAACCAACTGATAACAGTAACCAATTGCAGCTACACAGCCTAGACAAATTACAGCCGAACTTTCAGCTAGTACCTGTGCCAAGGAAATTGTAGATTACTGTCGCTCCTCTTTCTCCTGACTTGTCTGTTCGAATTCGCTATCACCGAACCCTAATAAGAGCACTTTATTCTTGACGTCAGGTACGCTGCTGGTGATCATCTTGCCGTGGTACCGCGCAACCCTTTGTGTCTTGTCGATCAACTCTGTGCATTGCTGAAAGTGGATCCTGAACAGTTAATTCGCTTCTCGAATTCAGTTGGTGAGTTTGTATCACCAGGTTCTTCCGCTAACGCTTTAGATGCAATCGGCTTGCTTTCTGTTCCGCAAATTTCTCTAACGAGTGTTGTATAAAAGCATTCCCGCGTGCAAATTCAAGATATAACGGGAACTTGATTTGCGTACAATTTTTATATAATTTCTGTGAAAATCTTGAAGACTAGTATCAGGTGTTTTTTAGAAGAAAATTGCGATTGCCCTTTCTCCCTCAGAATGGGTTGAACCCTGAATGGATGCATCTACTTAAACTGATCGTTTTCGTGAACTCTAGGTTTGCCCGTCAAGGCTGGCTTTCCAACACCGTGCAGCTATAGGACGGCATTTACACACTACTTCGACATCACCTCGCCTCCTCGGTTTCCGCTTTTGCGGCAGCTGGCAGTGGCTACGTCCAGCGAGACGGAAAGGGGCCTTCTTCAGCTGCTTGCATCTGGCACAGAAGCGGGAAATGTATGTGTATCATTTTTTTAATCTCCTCACTGGCCTATTTTTCTGTCTCATGAGTAGCTTTTTTTTCAAGGTACTGTTAAGAATCTATTAATGTATCAGCATATATATCATATGTCTCTATGCGGTTGCCCGTGAGTGCTCCAAGTGATCTCTGGGGCACAACGGAACATACTGTTTCTCAACCAGATCGATGAGCTCCTTACTTTCAGCTATTAATGTGTCCATCTGCGCGAATCACAATCTTCCTCTATTCATGCATATTTTGTCGTCTGATGCTGAAGTTCTTGTCTCCACCAAGTTGCATATTTGATAGTCTACTGGATCTCTCACGCCGTTCACTTTATATATCTCGTCTCGTCTCCGCTCCCAACCCAACTTCCAACTCAGTTCATTTTGAGCCTGTATTTAGTCTTTGCAAACTGTATTCTCACTTATTAAAAAAGTCCCTGCACCTTCCATTCTAACTGCAGGCAAAGTACGAACAGTGGTTTGGGACAGAACGTCGTCATCTAGTTGACCTTCTGGAGTATCTTCCCTCTTGCCGTCCGGTAGTGAAGGACCTCTTGAATCTCCTGCCTCGTTTGCAACCCCGATATTACAGCATTGCCTCCTCACCGAGACTGTTTCGCGACAGCGTTCACCTCGTCGTCGCTGTGGTGAAGTACACGACACCATTAGGTGTGTCATGGTATGCATTTTCTCGTATATTTTTTCCCTGACTGTACATATCTTGTCAGTCCGCCCACCATAGGTGTCGCGATAGCAGTGTTGCACGACTTTACCAGTCAAATCACGCTGCATAACGTAGCTTCTAGACTTCGCAAACCTTGCCGTTACGTACTGATCAGCACCGCTTCTGCCACCCTTTAAACAGGAGCTTCCCTGTACAAGTCGAAGTTATCATCGTTTTCTTTGGCAATTTAGGGGACAGTTGCTTTTAAAATCTATTGGTCCGAGTTGTCGTTTCAATTGTGAAAATGGCCAGGGAGTGATTCTTCTTTTCAATTCTTCTTGACTCGCCTGTTTCGTCTGCGCTAGGGGGCGTTTATTATCGTCAACTCCTGCAGTGTCCTATCCATTACGGGCTCTCATTTTTGTCACTTTTGTCCTTCGACTA